CTCTTTCTTGTGCCCCATGAGGGTATAACAAAACTATCACATGCAAAGACATGTGAGTGTGGTCCATGTAGTCATGGGATGGTCATGGGTCTCTCTCTCAACCCTCCCGTCCCACACCTCTGCGCGTCTGCGGGGACCCCTCTCTAGCACCGGCGGCTGTGCTACTACAAATGAAGCTACCAGCTAGCCTTCTGGGGCCCTACAGTCCTATGCCTACGGCGTCTGGGTGGGGGTGGCCGCCGCCGTCTGTGCCGCCGCCGCGGCCTGCGCCTGCGCCGCCATATGCGCTCCCCAGGCGGCCGCCGCCGCCGGCGTGATCACGCCGTGTAGGAGGAGAGGCTGAGAGTATGTGTAGTAGTAAGTAGAGTCCTGCTGGTCTCCTCTTGATAGTGTCATAAGTATGGCTCGTGTGTGTCAGAGCCTGACAGCCGACCCCGACAGCACCACCTGAGAGCACCTGACAGCAACAGCCCAAGACAACGTCTGACAGCAGCAGCAGCCTGACAGCTCTGACAGCTCCAACAGCGTCTGACAGCAACACCCGACAGCTCCGACAGCACCCGACAGCTGCAGAGCACCTCGACTGTCAGACACGCACCCGACAGCACCCGACAGCACTGACAGCGCCTGACAGCTGGTCTGACAGAGGCACCTGACAATGCCTGACAGCTGCCCGACAGCCCGACAGATCACCTGACAGCACCTGACAGCCTGACAGCCAGGGCTCAGCACACACCACACACACACACACACACACACACACACACACACACACACACACACACACACACACACACACACACACACACACACACACACACACACACACACACACACACACACACACACACGCTGGGCTCGCTTTGGACTCGAAAAGGTTGCTTCGTTCTCCCCGTCCGCCAGCGAGACGTTGCTGGCGGCTCCCTTGTGTGTGAGTGAGTATTCTTGATACGAAACCACGACGACACACACCAGTCGACTCGCATCGGTTGCCTCCATGAACGGCGGAGCTATTCTCGCGCCCACACCACACCTGGCTCCAACGTGGACACGCCCATAGCTGGGGACACTACTAGGTCACGCATGGCATCACAGAAGTTTTGTCTCTGGGCCCCGAAAGGCATCTCTAGCAGTGTCGTTACGCATGCCCCCTCCCCTCCTGGGCGCATGCGCCTCACGTCTCGCCAGAGCATACGCCCTTGGTGTGTGGCGAGACGAGTTTTTCGCCATGCAGCGAGCAGCAAGCCGCCCGCCGCAAACAGCCGGAGGCCTCGCCGCGGCACTGACTGCGCCGCGCTCCCGCACCCGTCGACTACGCTCCCCCCGCGGAAGACCGCGCGTAGCGACGCCTTGACGATCGAGATGGGCGCGCCTGAAGCTCGCCCACCTACAACTGTACTGCCCCTGAGAGTTGGTTACGAGTGGGATCAGCTCCCCCCCTTGGGATCAAAGCTTCCACGACCTCGCACCCAACATCTCAGGCGGGATCAGAAGGGGACTCCACACCACACAAAAACACACGCGGCTCCCTTGAGTGAGCGAGAATTCTTTTCTCTCGAAGCCAAAGCGACGACGAAAGCCACAAACCACAACGCGGTCACCTGCGTGATTCCCCCTTTTTGCCTCAAATGAATCCAGTGCCGTCGATCCGCCGTCAGTCGGCGAGCGAGTTTCGGTGGCCGCCCGACCCACACGAGGGCTTTTGCTACAACCTCCTCTCGCCGCAAGCTCTCGCGGATGCCGCCAGCGAAGAGACTGGAACCACTGTAACCGTGGCGGAGGTGTGCTCGTTCTTCCTTGAGCGGAAGCCCGCAGCCATGCCCAGGGCCTATCGGGAGTACGTGACCAGATGGGCGGCTGATCTCGAGGCTGGACGATCTTCTCGCTCGTGCTAGTTCACCGTCACAGGCACAGCAGTGGGACCGTGAGGACGGGCAGCAGCGCCTGAAGTCCACCTCTCCGGCATTTTTCTCGCGCGCCACTCCTCGCCTTTCAGCCGGCGCAACGCCCTCGCGCCTCTGCTTCGACGTCCCAGGCCTGATGTCTTCACGCCACGCTGTGCATCCGGAAACCACAGCTGCCCAGGCGGAACCATCGAGGGCGCTCGGACTGACTGCCGGGCCCGCATTCGACCTCCTGTCGCGCTTCCGTTTCCCTCTCGCGTCGGCCGCGACGTGCGACAAGGCGACCGTCGTCGCCGACGCGTCGTGTGTCGAGCGCGATAGCCCGGCCACGGCGCAGCCTCCGTCCTCTCTGAGATTATCGAAAGGTGAGGGACGGAGTAGACGACCAGTGCACACGGACGGACGACAATACGGCTCATGCGACATGCGCATTGCCGATCAGGGGCCCCCAGCAGTCAGCCAGCAGCAGCACAGGCCCCACAGCACCGCCGCACCGGCAGAGCTGCAGCTCTGCAAAGTCTTTTCTGATTTCACTTTTCGTGTGTAGGAGCGTGGAGAGAGCACTTCTGGGCGGTAGTTGAATACGTAAACCTCTCTACTTCAAGAGCCCTCCCCAACCTCGCCACGCCTCCACGGACCCCACGCGCGATCTATTACCAGATACCACGCTGCTGCGCATGCAGCGTGGGCGCGGGCCGGCTCTAAGGAGAATAGACCACCGTGCGGGCCCCACTCCCTGTCGCCAGTCCAGGGCGATCTCGAGAGAGCCTGCATCGGCGGCAGGGCGGCGCCGCCTGCCCCCGCGACCCCTACCTTCCCTCCCCGGCCCCTCTACGCGCCCTCGTAGCTCTCAAGCCACGGAAAGGTGAGCACGACGACGGTGATGTCGTCGCGGTAGTCGCCCTCCTCGACCTTCCACATGTGGGTCGCCTTGTGGACAATGCTCCGGCAGATCTCGGCCGGGTCGAGGTCCGTCACCTCAGAGACCAGGTCCGCAACCTCCTGCGACTCGACCAGCTCCCAGACGCCGTCCGACGCGATCACCATGCAAATGTCCGCGTCGGTAATCTCGTGCTCGGTGATCTCGGGCTCGGCGATGACGCCGACGGTGGCGGCGGCGTGGTCGCCGATGGAGCGGGCCATCGCCAGCCCGCGCAGGTTGTGCCACACGCGCGAGGGCGACCCGTTCGCGCCGGCGGGAGTGACATGCCCGCCGCAGGCCAGTATCCGCTGCATCTCTGCGGGCGTGTCTGGCTTCTGGTCGAAGGTGATGTCGACCGCGACGAGGCGGTTCGACTTTGGCGCCTGCCGGCAGATGATCGCGCGCGAGTCGCCCGAGTTGGCCAGCCAGATGTGGTTCCCGCGCACGATGCTGCACACGGCCGTCGTCCCGGAGACGGACGCGTCGCAGTGCTCCGCGAGCGAGCGGTCAACCTCGCAGAAGGCGGAGCGCAGCGCCTCCCCCGGGTCGGTGGCGAGCGAGGCGTGCGCGGAGAGCACGCCCGGCAGGGTGTTGATCACGTACTGCGACACCACCTCCCCCACCCTCCCGTGCCCGTCAAAGACGCCTCCCACGAAGCACGCGTTGTCGCCCGCAAACGGCCACATCGCAATCGCGCGGTCCTGGTTGATCTTTTGCACGGCGCCGCCCGGCACCGGCTCGAGCCCCGCGACCGAGTGCGCGCCGCACGACGCCGTCGGCGGCACAGGCGTGCTCGGGTCCGTCGGCTGAGCGGAGGGCGCGCCGTATACGCTCAGCCGGCGTCGCCGCTGCGACGGCTCGGCTGTCTGCGCCACGGAGAGGCGGCGATTGCGGAAGGTCTTGGCCTTCCCGTCAGGGTTGGTGGCCACTGAGTGCTCGACCCCGGCGATGCCCGGGTCCTCCTCCCCCGACTTGGCGCAGGCTTGCCCCATGCCGGCCTTGCGAATCGGAGGCGGGCGGCGCGTCAAGCGGGGCGCGGTGGGGAGGATGGCGCGATAGCGCCGCGGGAGGGCGCGGGCGAGGCGGGGGCGTGGAAGGAGGCCCACGGTGCGCGGCCTTTGTCAGCGCCCAGAGGTGAGGCCAAACGGATGCGCGAGGGGTGCAGGAGGGCGCGCGGAGGTGCGGTGCGCGCCGGCCACGGACGCCGGGGCGAGCAGTGCGATGGGGGCGGTGAAGTGCGTGGTGGGGTGGAGGCGCAGGCGCACAGCAGTGTGCGAGGCGCGGAGGGCGGCGGTGCACCAGGAACCAAAGCGGCGGGCTCTCCAGGCGCCTCGATGTGCGCCTCTTTGTGCCACAGCCTGCGCCGTTGTCTTTCTTTCCTCGAGGGTGCGTTTGAAGTGTTCAAACGTCCAAGCATAGACGACGGGGCACACGCACTCGCGGAACACAGGGCAGGAGCGTTTTGTGCGTTCTCAGGGAAAGGCATGACCACAGACAAAAGTATATAACATAGTCAGAGGTGCAGGCAGCAGTGGGGACCCCCACTCACGGCCCCGCGAGCGCCTGATGTCCATCGCTGCATTGGTTCTCGCCAAGCATGAGTGCACTGGTTTAGCGCGCGCAATGCGCGGGGAGGGCGGCCTAGCCTTCGCCGGCATGGCAAAGAAGGCGTCGGGCGGGCGCCTGTTCTCCAGCCAGCGTCAGCTAGCCTTCGTTCGAGGTTATGAAAGAAGGCACACGCACACACACACACACAAGAATCTCTCTCTCTCTCTCTCTCTCTCTCTCTCTCTCTCTCTCTCTCTCTCTCTCTCTCTCTCTCTCTCTCTCTCTCTCTCTCTCTCTCTCTCTCTCTCTCCCCCACACACACACACAAGAGAGACAGCGATCGCCACCTCGCTGGCCTCTCTCTCCGCAGGCCCCCCCGACCGCGTCGAACTCATCGGCGCGGGCTCTCTCGGCTACGGGACCGGCCCCAGCTTTGGCTGAGGGCTAGCTAACAAGCTCTCAAGCTGCTGAGCCCAAATCACTGTGCCCTTGGAGCACTTGGAGTGCGGTCAGTAACCTCACGCCCAGGACCGGGGAGCTGAGAAGCGCACCCAGTTGGCCGGACGCTCGGCATCGGGTTACCGGCTAGAGCGCGCCCGCCGGCGCGCTCTAGCCCTCGGGCAAGAGAGCCCTAGCCCCGGGGGTGCGCGGTCGCAGGGCCATAACACGGGTCTCCGAGGGTTGGCCCCGCGTACCAGGTTTCCCCTTAACTGCAGGACGCCCCCTCTTCTCGGAGCTAGGTCTCCGAGGGATGGTTCCGTGTACCGGGTTACCCCTTAACTGCAGAACGCACCCTCTTCCTCGACCGTGGGGGGGTGCG